GGCGAGTCGAGCGAAACGGACACGCACAGTATCAGGCTATCAGAGCAAACTTTACCTATCCTCGTGATGACAGTGCCAGACTGTAAACGATTTCCACGCATTTCTGTTCGGTCTCTTCGTTCTATCGACCCCATACACGTCGAGCAGCCCGCTTTCGAGCTGCGTGAGACTTGTTATCGTTATGGTCTGCGTTGGCGCAGAGGGATCGCAAGGGCCCGGCATCAGCAGCTGCGCAGGCAAATCCCATGTCGTACCCGGCTCCAGCAGCACTGTCAGGCTGTGTGTGCGGGCATCAAGTTTCTGAAACTGCAAATTTGGCGCGTTAGTAGGGCAAGGCGAGTCAAAGGGAGCCCCACAATGACATCCTTCTCGACAAGAATACCCAGGTTTGTGAAATGCTGTTTATATGCTAGGATGTCGCCTGCGCACAAAACGAAACTCTTGGCAAGATCGACGAGTTTCAGTTCTGCGGCTTCACTGGATGCGCTGAATTAAGAAAAACGACGGGTATACATGAAAAAACCGTACCCGGCACGCGTCGGAGATGAATGCGCAGTCGGTTCTTCATTATTGCGTTCCCTGCATAGGCATTCCACCGCCTCATGCGGCGGTGGGTGGACACCCTTGATGTATTGGCGAATGGGGCTCAATACCTTCAGGCGCCCTTGGTCCATGTACGCCAAAGATGTCCAGATAAGGGCTGCCCTGCATTGTCGGATATTCGGGATGTCCAGCGCATCGCGCGAAAGCATGTCCTTTGCCCACCTCCGGGGCCCAAAATGGCCAGGTGCGCGGGTTGAATCTGCAGAGCTGTGGCAATCAGCGTTAGCTCCGACTCTCTGCCGTGGAAGAATTTTGGAATTGGCGGCAACACCGAAACTATGCTGGAACTAGAGCCAGTCGTGAGGATTTGGATTAATCAGGGGGCCAACACTGACCTGTTGCTTCCTCGGAACTGACAAACGAAGTTGAATTACGCGCACTACAAGAAATAGAACCTACTGAAATTGAATATTCCGACTGGTTTCCATCGTCTTGAGCGGCAAGGACTTCGAGTTCCTGATGCCGCTGATGTGCATCCAGTTCGAGTTCAACCAGGTCAGTAGCCATGGTGACTCCGTTCTGTATCTTCGATCGATGGTTAAATTGAACCGAATCAGAATCGAAACACCTCACCTTGATGGTGTTCAGAATAGTATGCAATTCAACTTCGTATGCACGAAGTTGGACGCCGATTTCATACTGCCGGAACAAGTGTTTGATCTTCCCTAGCTCTTGCTGTAATTGCGCGGAAGTTTGTATCTTCTGAAGAGTTCTGAGAGGTGAAGACGAGAAGGTTTTGTGCACACAGTAGAACATACTTGACAAAGTGCCCGATGCCATCCAATATTTTAATGGGAAGTATACCTTGTTCCACCAGGCATCGATGAATGACGGCACATGTAAGCTGGTGTATGAGTTCCACAATGTGCGAGAGCATTCCCTGGTTCGTTTTCGTTCCCTGAATGTCGCGTGTCAATCGATACGATAAATACAAATATAAAAACACGAACATTTGTTTCACCCAATACACAAGAAATTGCGGCGGCGGCATTCCGTAAAAAGGATATATGCGATGCTCGGGCGAGATCTCGAAGGATGTCGACTGCAATGTTGGCATAATTGAGAGTTTGGCTTGCTGTACCATCCTCTTTCGACGTTGTGCTGGCTTTTTGCATTTCCGAAAGTTGATCGCGACAGATTGAGCGGTGAAATACGCTCCAGGGAGTGCTGGAAACAGGGCCGTTCTTTTATCGCCATTCTAATCATAATGATCAGAAGAAGGAAAAACTTGGTCGGAGTTATCGAGATGTCCGGGGTAGCGCAAACTCCGGACTCGCAGCAACGAACAGCTGAATTCTTCAAGGAAAACGTGGATTGTGTTGTATACAAGTTTACAACGACAAACACTAAAAAGTTGATTACCAATGAGACGAGTCGAGCGAAACGGACACGCACACTATTACAGGGGATCAGATTAAATTTTACCTATCCTCGTACCGACGAGCGCGCAAGTAAAATAACGTTCCGCGATCGTCTCTCCTTCCCCGACGCGCGTTCTCTGCCAAAATTGGACCCAGATGGATTTCTGTCCAGTTCCAAAAGAGTTGGAGCGGGGGGAAAATGGAACCAGGGTGGACAGCTTCGGTTCTATGCAACTGGGTTTGACGTCGAGCCAGGATGTGGCAAACGCGTAAGTGTTTTGCCGACGATAAGATAAATACAAACTCCAGCGGCCATCGGGCGCACAAAGCCTTAGGTGCGAACCCCGGAGGTGCGAGAGCGCTAAATGAGGGTCGTTCTTCAAGAAAACGTGGATTGCGTAATATACAAATCTACAACAACCAACGCTGAAAAGTTGATTGTCAATGAGGAGGCAAATCGAGCAAAACGGATACGCACAGTATCAGACCATCAGAGCAAACTTTACCTATCTTCGTAATGGCACGCCCGCAAGTAAAATAACGTGCCGTGATCTTCTCTCCCACCGCGACGCACGTTCTCTGCCAAATGGGTCTCCAAGGCATCCCCCGTCCAGCGCCAGACTGTAAACGATTTCCACGCATTTCCGTTCGGTCTCTTCGTTCTGTCGACCCCATACACGTCGAGCAGCCCGCTTTCGAGCTGCGTGGGACTCGTTATCGTCATGGTCCGCGTCGGCTCGGAGGGATCGCAAGGGCCCGGCATCAGCAGTTGCACGGGCAGATCGCGCGTCGTACCCGGCTCCAGCAGCACGGTCAGGCTGTGTGTGCGGGCGTCAATCTTCTGGATCTGGGGGTGTGCATTAGCGGGGCGAGGCGAATGAAAGGGAGCCCCACAATGACATCCTTCTCGACAAGAATACCCAGGTTGGTGAAATGCCGTTTATAGGCTAGGATATCGCCTTGGCGCAAAACGGAACTCTTGGCAAGATCGACGAGTTTCAGTTCTGCGGCTTCACTGGGTGCGCTGAATTAAGAAAGACCGACGATATACAAAAAAAGACCGCACCCGGCACGCGTCGGAGATGAATGCGTAATCGGTTCTTCATTGTCGCGTTCCCAAACTTCATCTTTCCACGGAGCCGCAAGACTGCCGTCTCTGATCCCTTCCTCGTACTTTCTCACCTTTTCAGCATGTGCGTCGGAAAGCCAATCAGAAAACAGGTGATCCTGGAAGGTGTGTGCGGCGGCAAGAAAATGGGAGTCGGTGAAAAGTGAGGGATCGACGGTGCCCGAGACATTGAAGTCAACGTTCATCGAATCTGTGGCGGCTGGATGGTCCGACCCGATAGAGGGCTGGAAAGACGAGAAAGCAGTGGAAGGTAACAAAGCAGCAAGCCGAGACTGCGAGTCTGGTGAAAGCATATTCCAAGAGTTTGCATTGATGAGGTCCTGGGAGCGTTGAGAATTTACTGGGGGTCTAGCCGGCAACGTACAGATATGTTCATCTTTGTGAGGCGGCTTTTCGGATTTTGCAACATGAAGTGTTGTACATGTGCGTCGGGGTCCACATCTTTGGCTTTTCGCTTTGCTGGAACGGGTTCTGCAGCTGGAATCACTTCACGCTGAGTGGGTTTCGGTTTTCGATTCGAGCGACGGGGAGCGTCGGCCATGGGAGTTGTGGCACAAGGCGCGTGTTGGCGTTGTTTGGCGTTGTTCGAAGCGATGATTGATTAGTCTAGTCAGACCAACGCGTAATCTTATCTTTGATAAGCGGAGTGTGGAGAAGATAATGATTGATGGTATTTCGGGGCCACCTTTCGCGATTTGACTGCATTTGAATTGTTGTAAATCTACGAAAATAATCGAGTGAGCGTAGGAAAGAATTTAGCCCCCTCCGACGCCTTCAGCTCATTTACAACTGCGATGTAGGATAAGTTAGCTCAATGGCAGATAACATTGTGACAGTGACATCACACCGATATCTGTCTTTGCTCTTTCCTGCGCAGCTCCAGGTCATTGTTGCGCGGGGGACCCGCGAAATACCTTCGATTCAGGTCTTATTAGACCTTTACTCCCCCAGGAACCCCAACGACACCATCGACAAGCTCTTTACACTGGAAACCACCCTTACTGGCAGCAATATTCTGGCGTGGTTCTGGCTCGATACTCCGAACACCACGCTATCTAGACTTATCAGACACAAAGTGAACTTGGATCTGTCTTCGTCTGACAAAAATCCGATGTTCCAGCTTCTATTCCTTGCGACCGCTGTATCTGCGCTGCGCCAACGACACCATCTTGGTGCCATCTCGAAGGCTGGAGGGCTGAGATGGAGACTAGTCCGGTAGATCGCAGCCATCCCAAGTTTCCTTGCGGCTCTGCGGTGTGTGTACTATAAGTTTCCGTGTCGAATTTTTTACTGGCATTGCTTTTTGTGCCTGGGTATGCTGAGCAAGACAACGCAGATCCGTGGCATCCACGGCTCCTGCTGTCTCCGTAGTTCATCTCTGGACCACCAAGCCACCAAGATACGAACGCGCCCGCACGACTGCCCCGCCGCGATGTCTTGAGGAGCTGGAACATCCGCTGTTGTGTGCCCCATCAAGTGCATACAACTGCCACCGCAAAATGCATATTGCTTGGACACGACATCGCATTCTAGTCCGTTGTTTCGGAGGTTCTTACGCCCGACTACGCTCCTGCAAAGCACCGCCGTTTGGTGTGTCTTGACCTGATCTTTGATGATCCTCAGGTGATTTCTCCCGCGTTGCCTTTTGCCGTGGGTGATAGGACTATGTATGCTCTTCCTCATGTATCTCGATTTCCTTTGTGTCCGTCCTGCTCTGTATTTAAATATACCGTACCTCTAACTGCCAATAAACCTTTGCCTTCTGTATGTTGCACAACTTTCCTGTGTCCGAAATAACAAGCAAAGGTGGTCGTGAGCTCTCTTCAATCCTCCCTCTTTCCTTGCGTTGGAATACATACCAAGCCGTTTTCCCATCAAGCCCGGGCTTCACCCATGAGTGGTCAATGGGATCCGTGGTGTAGTGGTTATCACGTTTGCTTTACATCATGAGTGATGCGCGCAAAAGGTCGTCAGTTCGAGCCTGGCTGGATTCACATTTTTTGACCTTTTCCCATTGAAAAGGTCTAAGTGTAGACGCTCATTTACCTACATACTTTAGCGTGGAATTCCAGGTTGCGGGGGTTAATATTACCTTCCTGATGGTAGCACACCTAGGCCGAGACACGTGCTACTATCTCCGATTCTTTTTCGGGCGCGCTCACTAACTGACGTGTTTCTTCCTCGACGCGATTGGTCTCTCCTGCCAGACGCTTTCTATCGTTCCACCTCGTTGATATATCGACGAGATGGCTGCGGGCGTCTCGCTGGTTCTCTTTGCCACCACCGCTGCTGGCTTAATCGTGCCATGGTTCTACTTTGGTATTCACAAAGCTCCAGGAAGACCCTTGACATCCACTCGGTCTCTGCTCAATATATTCCTCCTGCTGCACTCGCTTTACTTTGTGTACCAACTCATCGTCTTGCCTCCGCTGAACATCTACACGCGTTTGAAAATACCATTAAACACACCCGCCGATGCGATACGGAGCATCTTGATCCAGCAGTCGGACACTGGAGACCTGCCGAAGCCACTCGAGACGCTACTGAAACATCTTGGGTCGTTTGACGTGAAAACCTACTATGTCCGGTGCGTAGTCGCGTGAACCATGCCTCCGAATCATATCCTGAACGCCCGCCTAGATTCGGTCACTCGGTGGTGTCAAACTGCGATTACTGCTTGTCATTCAATGAATTCGCCATGTTTGCGCTGCCGTCAGCTTTGCTGTCGTATATCTGGGCAGCTGCCGCCATCGGAGTACGTGCAATAATTTCTACACCATCATCGCATTGACGATTCTCTCCAGCTCGTAACCATTGTCAACTCTGGCCGCGAGCGTTACCGCACACTCGCAGTCGCGGCCGTAGCGGGGGCCTTCTGCGTTGAAGCATACTACATCGTGACTGTCAGCATCGAAATCCCCAAGGACGATAAACCCGTCTTCATGGTATGCCGCTCCCCTAATCTTCTCCGCCCGTCTAACTCGCCACGCAGTGGCACGACACCCTGCTCCTCCTACGGCGCCTCCTCTTCCTTATCCTCCCGGTGGTAGTCCACATGCTCCCGCCCTCCGCGTCCGCCGCCGCCCTCGTCAACCCCACCGCCACCGCAATGCGCGCCGCCGAGCAAACCGCGCTCCGGCTGCAACTCCTGCGCCTCGCGCGCGGCGCCGTCATGCGTGCCCCCGACCTCCGCGCGCGCGCCGTGGCGTGGTGGACGGCCGAGGCGCGCGAGGGCGAGTGGGTGCGCGAGGACGAGGGTGTGCGCGAGCTTGCGCGCAAGCTCAACTCGGGCTTCGACGAAGGCGGCTCCGACGGCGAGGGCGCGGGTCCCCTGCGCGCGACCGCACGCCAGTCCGTCGCAGCGCTCAAAACCGGCTTTGCACCAAGCGAGTACTGGAGGGTGTCTCCGCCATAGAGCTATCGGAATACATTGCCTGTAATTTATACTGTACCCCGCATAGTCACCCGTAATTTTCTTGGAGAACAAACGGAGAAATAATAGCATAAAACGAGCCCTATTAAGTAGAACGTGCAGGCGCGCTGGGGGCCCACATCTCCTCTACAAAGCATCCAAGTGAAAATGGACTATGTAGAACAAAAAAAAAACATAGAATATATAAGTAACTAACTAACAAACGCGCCACGCATTAGACGAAAAATGAGATACGCAGCACAGAAGATGCTGCCGTCGTTTTGGGACTAGTAATCGTAACCCTCGACCTTGAAGGTTTTGCCATACTGCAAGTAGCTGTCCATAATTTTGAGAATCGGTTCCGGGAGACCCATACTGAGCAGCGTATACGAGATCTTGGCGTGTCCGTGCACCTGCCCCAGCTTGAAGAAACACTTGGCAATTTGCGTCGGGTACTGTATGTGCATCCACTTTTGAGCACCCGAGGGCTGCGATAATGAAACCGAAAAAACGCACCGTCATCTCAGTGTACTCCGCATACTGGTACGCCGCGACGCGGATCGCGGTCTGGATACACCGCTGGATGTCGCCCTCGTCGGCGTACATCTCCATGAGCTTGTTCCACGGCTTGACAGAGTAGCGCGGCGTGTCGAGACAGCGCTGGTACGCCTCCTTCGCCTCCTCCTTGTGATGCAGCCGCATCCCCAAGTCGCCCAAGATCTCCCACTCGAGCCCCGTCTTGCGGTACGCGACATGCTGCGTCTTAAAGTGTGCAACCTCGGCGCGGAAGATCGTCCACACCCGCAGGTCCTAGATGGCATCGTATCAGTTTATGGACTCGAAAGAGGAAAGTCAACACACCTCATAGAGCACCATGAACAGGTTGTCGAGCCACCGCTCACACAACCGCTTGTTGCTGAACGAGAACGGTTCCTGCTGCGTCGGCGAGGGCGGCTCTTTCTTCGGAGGCGCGTCATGGTCAATCTCCTGCCCCTCGTCCTCCGTGGCAGCCTGCACCGGCCGCTCCAACGCATCCACCGCCGCCGCCTTCACAGCCGCCTCGCCGTCCTTCTCCTCCTTGCCCTCGTCACGGTCCGACTCCGTCGAGATCCGGATCGTCGGAATCCCGTTCTCGCTCGCATTCGCGTTCCCATTCCCATTCCCATTCAGCTCCCCAACCGGCGTCACAGGACTCGTCACCGCGCTCCCCCCGGGGCTGCGCATCCCGCGCGTCGACGCGTCGTCGCCGTCGCCGTCCGCGAGCGTCGTCTCCCCGCCCCCGACAGACACATCCGACTCGGTGCGCGCGTGGCTCGCAATGTCGCCCTGCGCCTTCTGCATGCGGTACTCCTCCTCCATGACGAACACGGCGCTCCGCGTCTTGAGCAGCTCGTCCCAGCCGATCTGCGCGACGAGCCGTGTGAGGAGGGCGTAGGCGCGCGCCCAGGTGCCGCGCAGCCCCGGGGCGGGGAGGCGTTGGAGGGCGGGGTCGGCCTGAAGGTGTGTTCGTTAGTCGTTCGTTGTGAACAAGTGGAAAGGCAAAAACACAACGTACCTCATCATCCTCCGTCTTGACGCGGTCCGGCAGGATCTCGCCTATCGAGCGATGAAACGGCAGGTGAACCCGCGCGGGTGTAAGCTGCCGGTGCGCGTCGCGGCCATTGAACGTGAACATCGGGCACGAGTTGAGCGTGAGCAGCGCCTGGTGCAAATCAGCCTATGTAGTCGACAAAAATACAAAGCGAATGGACACCCACCGACTCGAACATGCGCAGCTCGACATACACCTCCGTGAGCTTCTCCCACGTCACGAACTCGCTCGGCGCAGCGTTGACCGCCTGCCGCGCGAGCTTCAGCGCCCAGTCCGAGCGGCCCTTATCTCGCAGGAAGTCGCACTGCGCGTGTAGGAGCGTGTAGGACGACGGCCCTGGCAAGGTGCGCAGCGCCGTCGACATGATCTGCAGCGCCTTTACCTCCTCGTCTGGTAGCGGTTCGTGAGGTCAGCCAAGGAAAATAGATGGGAATAGAGGGAGGAACGCACGCATCCCGAGGTACGCGCGCGCGAGGAGGGACGAGACCTCGGGCTCGCGCACGACGAGCTTCTCGAACAGGTTCGCGGCCTGCTGGTAGCGCCCTGAGGTCCCGAAGTACTTGAGCAGCCCGGCGGTGAGGTGGTTCGTCGCCACCGACGCCACCTGGATTTCGGGATCTGAGCCGACCTGCCAGCCTGCCCCAGAGTTAGCTATGCATGGGCGGATTGCATGGAGGGAGGGTACCCTTGAGGAACAGCGCCTCTGCCGCGGCGAGGAAGCGCAGCTCGCCCTCGGGCGACGTGATGGGGTCGAGTTTGCGGTATGCGTCGAGGGCGTGCGTGGGGTCGTCGGAGTAGAGGATCGCACGCAGGAGGGCGGAGACATACGTCTCCTGCCACATTTCTGCGGTGGCTTCGTGTCTGCTTCAAATGAGTCCTCGAACAACTTTGACAACAATTTGCAGCACGCACCGCTCGCCCCGCAAATCCACCACATACGCCACGACGCCTCCGGGTATCTTGACGTCGACGCGGAAGTCGACGCGCGAAAAGGCGTTGAAGCAGCAGTAGCACCCGTTGCGCACCTTCCACACCGGGGTGTTGGAGAACCACGTGTTGGAGCCCTCGATGGCGTAGGTGAGGGAGTTGATGTATGCGGCGAGGGACGCAGAGGAGGAGGCGTCGACGCCAGAGACGAAGTGGTACGAGCCGATGTCGCGCTGCCCCGCCTTTCCGGTGCTCTTCACGACATGGCACAAGTCCGGTGGCCCGAGCTCCCTGAACGTGGCTGCGCGGCGTTAGCTTGCATCGTGTGTATTGCGGGTAAGCTCACATAAACTCTCTGTACGAGCGGTGAGTGACTCTCCGAGGTCGACCTGCAGAGTGATCAGACGCGCGCCGCGATCGAGCACTTGGCTCTACCTCAAAAAGTTCGGCGATGTCCTTGAATGTAGCGGTCGCGTCTGCCATGGGCAGAGCCTTCAACGGGGTTTAGAGTGAAATTGGGCGTCGAAAATAACGCGCAAGGACCTAGATAGACTGCCACAGCAATCGGCAAAATGCAATGTAGCCCGAGTGCAGTTACACGTACCTTCGAGATGTGGTTTGCTGAAGGATCTGAGCGAGCAATAGGGCGTCAGTAAATATTGGCGGTCCAGAGGCCGGGTCCAGAATAGACACGTTTCTCGCGTCACGAAACATATTGTGCCACTTAGATAGCGAACTATAGCTGACTGGCACCCTGCAGCGTCCCCGTCGTATGTCCAAGCGCCGCGTACGATAAAATAGGGACACCGCGAAGAATTGCAATGAAAGTCAAGATGCGCGTGGCGTACCTTCAACACCCACTACCAAGCCAATGCCAGTCCCAATCTACGTCCAGAAGTCCACTGTGCTGGAATCGGCGGAATATAAGCCTTGCGGGACGCGAGACCGCGAGCAAATGCACAATGAGGAAAGTGTAGCGGAGGAAGCAGCGGTCACAAACAAGCTCTGATGGCTAGTAAGTATTGAAACAAATATATTCCATCCTGTCTATGCGATACATTGGC